GTTTTGATACAAGAAGTACGTTGTCGCAGTCAAGCACAATTGTCCATGGCCCACCCGCCTGCTCACGAGAAGGTGTTCGGATTACATAAAACATTTCTTTCACTCCACTTTCAAATATTGACCGAAAATACCTTGGTATCAACAACCGGCCAATGGCTGAAATTAAAACGAATCGAGTTTACAAAACTAAATGCTTTTGGTTCTGTATATTAAAAAACAGCCAAAAAAAAAACATACAATATCGATGATGATGGCCAGGTGCTTGATCGTCAAATAACAAAAAGCTCATTTTGGCATCGTCATCAAAAAATTCGTGTGCAAATGCATCCCACCACTGCGCATGGTCCTTTTCCTGAATCTGAAAACCGAATATTAATCTGCATTCAACTTTCCCAGAAGACATATACTTTACTAGTGGAAGCGCAATCTGTTTAATTTCTCAAAGGCCCCCATTCCCATTGTTCACAGAAGGGATAAAATAAAAACATGAGACTATGCAAATATACTTGACTTAAATATATACCAATCAATAAAAAACAGAAATAATAAGCTAATAAAGAAAAGAACTTACTCCACTATTACTGAAGATGAATAATCTCCGATTCATTTCATGCAACCTGAATTCCAACTGCGAGGGAGGAGGACCTTGTTGATGGTTCGGCATACCCATAGGTGCCACATGTCTATACCTGAAAAATAAACACTTAATTTTGTGGGAGATTAAAAGTTATGTTAACTCTGAAGAACACATTTTAATAGCAAAGAATGCCGATGACGACTTCTTACGGATTTCTTTTCACGCTAGTGCCTTAGCAAGGAACCTTGCGCAGAATATTTCCAAAAAAGGATGAATGAGAACCTCATGATCATATGATTATGCTGTTGTAGATGAGACGGCTGCCCAACAAAAGGACTTTGCGGTGGTTCAGGTTCAATAAATTGATGTGGTGGCGGTGCTTGTTGTGCGGGACCAGGCGGTGGGCCGAGTGGTGATGGCTGATAACCCGGCGGTACCGCTTGATAATATTCTGGCGGTGGTGGAGGAGGCGGTGGAGCACCCATCGAGCCAGTTGGTGGCGTATAAACATGATGACTTGACATTGGTCCACCATCATCGTGTATTGGGATCATCCCATTATGATTATGCATCATTGGCACAGTTTGCATTGCTGACGGTGCTTGGCCACTATCGTACATCCCTTGAACCATTTCCAATTTAGGTTCCAAACTACCGACATCTTTTTTTGAGCGTCTAGCGCGTGGTCTTGTCGTACCGACAGCTGCGCTTGCTGTACCATTTTCATTAGCTTTTCGTCGTGGCATCGGCTTGCTTCTCAAGTTAAATGCTTTGCTGTTGAAGTTTTGACCTGTAGTATACTGTCTTCACCGTATACTCATTTCCATATACACTCTTCGAAACAACTGATAAGCAAACATGGGGTACCAAAATTCAAGGAGCACCAAATATGCCACATCAACTTTCAGAAATCAAACTCTAGCAATGGAATCGATCCCAATAATGGAGCCCCAATAATTATGTACCTTCTTCCTTTCTTTTCTTTCTGAAAATGAATCAGTGTCGCCCGCTTTAGTCGTAAAAGATTCATTATGACGTTGCATTAAGTGCAATATCTGAACTACTGAACCCAGAACATGGCATGACACCAAAAAAAAAAAAGAAAACACGAATAACATGACAAGAAAAGTATTATTGATATTAGAAAACGCATATCAGTGCACTTCCAAAAATGGCCAAACTAAGCATAAAAATGGTTAGAAATTGATACATTAATGATGAACTCCTACTTCTAAATTCTTGTCATATAAAAATTTCAGCACATAGTTGCTTGACAAGTAACCACCGTAATAAACTGAAATTGCCATTCTTGTTATCACAATATTTCAAAGAACTATATATAAAAAAGTTCATAGAAAATAATGAGCGCAGTCTCTAACTGTATACATTATCAACTTTGCATGTTCCACCCGATATCTTTATTCTTTTTTTTTATGTTATGACACAGCATTCTACGATTCTTCCTAGCCTACCTATAAATGTTTTCGATGTCAGGAAAAGAAACGTTTTGACGAATCAAAAGAAACTGATAAATTGTAAAGAGATCACAAGTGAGAAAGCATGTGCAACAAAAGTGATGTGTCATATTTGATGTTAAGCTACTTCGTTTTCAGTGTTCTGTAAGAAATTTCAAGCATACAAATAGAATCGTAACCGTCACGTGTCTTTCATGATCCTAACCCTGAGATAATAAGCTCAACGCTATATCACTTCGCAAATTTAGCTCAGTCAATCCATCTACTCATTCAGTTTTTCTATCCAACCCTTATTCAGTAAATTATGACTAGCGACTTTCGTTTTTCGAGTGCAGCCTAAACTAGTGAGCATAAAAGGGAAAAGAGACAAGGCAGAAAATATTCATTTCAATGTCAGTATCCTAAACAACTGTTTATTCATGAAAGACAAATAAAGTTTGACGAAATCAAACACATTTCAAAATTCTATGAAAAAAGTTTCGTGTATGGATCAACTGAATTAAAGTGCCCTTTTGGGTTAAGCACTTCAGTTCGAACCAGTTTTCAAATCGAAGATTTGTCTGAGATCAAAATCGAAATTTGAGCGCCAAGAATGTGAAACACACGAAAGGGAAATGTTTGGACGAGCAAATATGATAAGCATGGCAAGACAGAAGGGGTACTGGTGTATGCGACCCGTTTTCGAATAAAAAAGGGATAAGGATTCGACCCGAAGCTTGCAGCTAATCAGCATAATCGCATAATCAATAAATGTGTGCAGATGTGAATAGTAGGCATGGGGAAAGGGAGGAGAAATGGGTGAAAAGGAAGGAGATGAGGAGACAACACAGCTATCTATCTCAGCTAGCTACAACACCTCATTGCAAACCAAACCTCGTTACATCAACTTCCATACCAAATTCAAAACCACATCCTAACTTTGCTTACTACTATTCACCTTGACGCATCATCTTCACGCCAAAACATGTTACAAGTATATATATATATATGTATAATGTATATGAATGTTACATCCTTTCTACCAACTAAATGTCTGCCAACAAATGCCGAAGCAGCCACGAGTGCAGTGATGGAAGTCTTGTCAGCCATCTCACGACAAGGACTAGGCGATGTGAGACTGAGAGAGGGCCCCTCTTCGATGAAAGAAAATTTGATAAAGTAGGGTCAGTTTTTCTGACGTCAATAAATGGAAGAATTGTATGATGCGGACATCAAGGAGACAACTGTGACCCTTGGATGAATCGGACAATTCATCCTACCAGTAAACGTGAAATATCCTACTTCACAATCTTGTAATTTTTACAACATTTGTTAATCCCATTCTTTAACTATTCCGGAATATGATGCACGTGTTTCGTTTTTGAAAAAGCCCAGATATTCACATGCTTCACTGCTCGGACTTGATTTTCACATTTATGCTGCGAGTATAAGCAAACCAGAACAATGTCTATGAATGGTAAAGATTGGTAAAAAATGGTAAAAATGGTAAAAACGATGTATAGGAATTGCAGCGATCAATACAACTAATTCAAAAGTCAAAAATTTAGCATCAGAAGCCATTCATATATTGAACAACTACACCCAATGTAAAGCCTTTTAAATAAATTGATTCCATGATCATAAAAACGTCACTTTTTTTCATAAAATTTTGGCCATCAAACGATAATCGACAATAATAGTACTACTTAAAACTAAGTTCGATAAATGAGACCCATGAACCATGATTATACTACTACTAATTGAAATTAATGATATAGTTTTAGATGCTCATTGATGATGGCAAGAAATTCTCAGAGATATGTCATTATTCCATTGGTGCATTTAACGGTACTTTTTTGCTTCCTTTCTCGTGTTTGTATTCGAAAGAATGAAAAAACTCAAGCCTAAGTGTGAAGAGAAACTAAATGAGTTGCATAACATCCAAAATTTAACGCGTCATAAAAAAATGTTACTAAAGCGGAATGAAACCTAATGCTCACATATGCTTTTGTAAAAATCTTAAATTTCAGTATCAAATGATTTCACTTAAGTACGTATAGCTCATAAATGGATCAAATGGAACCGTTTAATAGTACTGCAATTTTCTTTAGCCTATTAATATGGGAAAATGCGGCACTTGAACTGCCGAATGTTTCCAATACCAACGTCACACTGCCAAATGCTCTTAGAACTAACTGCCGGATGCAATTCATTATTATCTACGTGTTAATTTGTTGCGGCAAGAAATAACAAAGATCATATCTTATGATGACGTCAATTAAAGTAGTAAAAAACGCATTGATAATGTTAAGTGAAACTGTAATACGACACAGTCGTCACAATGATATATCACTGGGCTACTTAAAATTAAAAGAATGTAACGACCAAAACACCTCAAAAAAAAACACTTCGAAAAACAATGAATATTTTTAAAAGTGTTACACCGTGAATACGAACAGCCTATGCAAAAAACCGGTCAATGAAACACCTACATACACATGCACAGACATACATATACATGCACACAGACATAACGGATATGTCGGCATATATACATGAAGGAACAAACAAGAGTGAGTCTAATACTAGAAGTGCTGTACCAATTGAAACAGTTTTTTTAACGATAGTGCTAAAAAAGGGTAGCGATGGCAATATGGCGTATATATATATATATATATATAATGTGGTTGCCAGTTTCGTCAGTTTCGTTCACTGCAGAAAGAACCTAGTCAGATCACGAACCACCACTTCTACCACTACTATTACTACTACTAAGCGCATTGGCATCGGTACGGTTGGGAAGCGAGAAACTCTTTCATCTATTTTCGTGGTACACTCTCCCATTCATCTATTTATCCTATCCTGTTAGTATTGCTTATTGGTCATTTTTAAGCAAGAACTGCCAGGTATGGTGAATATATTAGCCATGGATATGCAATTCCTCATAATCAGCCTCAACAATAATAAGGATGGGTAGTGATGGAAAATCGGAAATCATAAGGTTTCAGGATCAGCAACAACGCTTTACTGGTGCGTACGCTGATGTGTACAGGTAATATGTGGGTTATGCGCACATGCCATACGGGAAACGGGGTTATGAGAGAGCAGAAGAAAGAGACAAAGAGGGAGAGAGAGAGGTAGGGGGGACGGAGGACATCTTTTTCCAAACACTACAGATCATGCATGATTATAGTGCTACTATCAAAGACATTTGTAGGAAACTGGAAAATAGGCACAAAACCACATTTACTGCTACCTGACTGCAGAAGTGCTGCACAAGTATATAGTAGCAGTGTTACAGTTCGACACTGTCGCGCAAACTGGTAATCTTTTGTGGGCAGCCGTTGCCAGCAGACCTTTGCTGGATTAAGACAGTGAATAGGAGACGATGACGAAGGGACGCCGATGGCGAAAGTTATGGTGACAGAGGCACCACTCCTTTGCCATCACGGACGACCAACAGTCACCCCTGGGGACCACCACTTCTCCTACACAGCAGCAGATCGCCTTGTTTATTCACCTATCTCTGGAATCCGCTCAATTCCAGAATCACAAGTATCAATCTATGGCACTATATTAGATGAAAGGAAGTCTCCGTTGGACCCTCAGCATTTATAACCAAAACTTCTAAACTGCCGCTATTTTCTATTCTTCATTATATCATGCTGTTTGAAATCTGGATGCGAAAACTATATTGATGAAGCATTTCGAATCTTCGTGTAATTAGTGCTGCATCCACAAAGATCATTAGAAGATTCCACGATTTTAATTTGCATAAAAACACAAAAAGCGTTTGGAAACCGCTACCTAATTCGATGATAAAGCGCTAATAGGCTAAGCGCAATTAAATGCTGGAATGTCACAGTTCCCAACTATAACTATCCCTAGAAGACCTTAAAAGCATACAGAATTCAATAATCCTTTTCCTGTATTCTTCCACTTCGATTTAAACTTTGTTCCAGACAGAAAGGAGAGAAATAAAGAATGCACGATAAAATCAGAATTATGTTCAGAACAGAATAAGAAAGGTACCGATTTTTTGGTTAGGGACTGGTATTTGAAGCTTAAATGGTTTGAGTTAATGCAAAAGTTCTTGAAAATCATAGTTGTAACAAACGGGATGCATTCAGAAGAACACTGAAATTTAATCTGGAGCAAATCAGCCTGGATGTAGTTATACGGACGGTTATCGAAATACCTGAATAGGCTAAAATCTACAATCAAAGCCCTATGGTGGTGCTATCTAGAGCTAATATAATGACATGGCCAGTGAGGCGGTGTGAAATCCACGGCCGCCAACTTCTATTCGATGACACCGACCCTTCTGAAGGATTCGCATATAGCGTATGACTCTAACGAAGCTTAGCAGAAAGGGTTGTATCTCCTACCCACTAAGCGCTTACTTTGAACTTATAGATAGCCTTTAAGTATGACGTCTCGTTCCGCATCATTTCCCACGGATAGAAGAGATATGTTGAAACATCACCCCGCAGCAATTGTGCCATTGTCAAAGTTGAAAATTAAAGGAAGCACGACAATCTTTCGATTTAGGAAATGTAGATATTACTGCAATATGAGATGAGATGGAAAGACGACATGCATACATATTGGCATGCATGCATATATACTGCAATATACGAGAGGAATAAGCGTATTTCAGGGGATGGCGTTGAAGAAGGATGTACGCAAGGATTACTACCTGGATTGAGTGGTGTGTAGAAAAATAGAAGGTGAAATACTGGTAAACTGGGAACTGTGCAGAAGGATGGTGAAGGCAGTGAGATGAGTAAGGGAGGAGGCGGATAAGTGGGTGGATAGTAGGCGGGTGGGTGGATCAGTTGCGGCGATGCTTTACGTTTTGGGGCGACATTTGGAATGTTGCCTACAAGGGTCGGCGTATGGATTGGCATATGATAGGAATAGATGGGCGTCTAGCTTCGGCACTGTTGTGTAATGTGCAGGCAAACATTGAGTAGGCTCGTCGAGATACGAGCGAAAAGGGGCGTTCATTGAGGGAAAGGATATGAGAGCATTTGTGTAGGAGACAGACAGAGAGAATAGCATAGGTTGGACAATGACCAATGCAATGGTAATGGGTGAGGAAGAGAGGCAAAAAGAGAAGGGTGGGGAATTTACCTTATGAGCAACTTTCAACGCGTGCCGCTCTGTCGCTCTTTGAGCTTGACACAAGCAAAGCCAGTGAAACAGTGCTCTGACACACACACACACACACACACACACACACACACACACACACACACACACACACACACACACACATGCACACATACACATTACATACACACATATGCACATCTAAATATCTAAATACATACGCATATACGGGGGATGAATATGTATGTACGTGCACATGCGGGAAGCAAGTTTCGAGTGGAACATGGAAATAAGGCGGCTGGAGCCAGCTCTCGAAATGGCCCCGAGAGGAAGTGGACAGCTCAATCACGGCACTGTACCAATAAGGGATGGTCAGCTACCGGATAAAACCTTCATCACTCTCTCCCATTACTACCACAATTGTTTGAGGCTTATTCAATTAACTTGTACTACACACTATAGTGCGCATTTCATTTGTGGTGTTACAGAAAGTGAGCTGTTCAATAACACGCGGATATGGAACTGTAACAGTAGGACGAGTACATCAACTGCTCACCTTGACCTTTTGACCTCCGCATCCTCTCGCAACATCATCCTCCCTCTCTCCGTTTACATTCATCTGCTTAATGTTCCTAATGCCATCAAATTCCAATGCCGATCAAGGACGACAGCACTATAAATGATAACAGTGCATAAAAAAACCATGAACCTCTCAAACTTTTAACATTGGTTAGCTAAATCTGAATTTAAGCTCTCCGAAAAAAAATATAAATAAAAACGCTCAATTGTACTGAAAGTTCAATATATATACCCACTGAGTATATATTTCCTGCACAACTCAGCGCTTCCGATATCGATTGTCAATATTATGAAGAATGTTTCACTCTTTTGACTCCTTCCAAATTCCGAAAAGGACCGACCTACTACTCCAAGTGATCAAGCTTACTTAAGTTGCGCTATGGCTGACTGCTATAAGTTAGGGCGAGGGGCGATGTTGACAAATAAAATTCCAAGCTGTATGTTTCTACGAGATCAAAAAGGTAAAACCAGTTTGAAGAAGGGAGAAATCGAGACTGCTATGGGGAATGGCAGGGATTCGCTGACTGTGGCAACAGCACCATCACAACATTTAATGAACGGGTGTGCATGCTCAAAGTATACCTACCGGATGAGCAATTAATTGCATATTCCTGTCGCTCTCGAACATATCACGGGGCATCACGGCATCAAAATTTGAAAGAAAGTTGTCTAAGAATCCAATTAGATATGTACGCCCGTAAATCGTGCAAAAAGAATGTCACTAATATCTACTGCTAATTATATTGCATAATGAACCATCTCCTTACCCGAAATTTGTTAGTAGTGCGGTTAATTCTTATCGCATAAATAACTATATTTTCTGGGCATTTTCAGGATATTCGCTGTTAACATACGTTATCATTTCAGAGTGGTGGAGGATATTTCAGACTGAAAATCTCTTCAGAGAAGATTCAACTTTTAACTAACCTTTGAATCAAAGTATTTTAACTCCCAAACTCACAACACTGACATCTTATCAACTTTACTATGTCGGCATTCAGAGACAAATCTCTAATATTTCCTTCCAAGCTGGACGCTGCGACTTGATTCCTCCTCTCCACTCCCCATAAGAAATTGCTTTTTGTAAAAATATTTCAAATATGCCTCAACATCTTCATTTATTATGAACAAGAAATCACGAGAATGACGCAAACAAACATCAATATAGAGTAGCTATGAAGTTATGAATAGTTATTCGAAGATTGCCAATTACTTTTAAAGAAGCATAAGACAGCAGTACATTCGATGCCTTCTACGCTCTACAACATTTCAGGACTGGGCAGAAATTCAAAGCACGAAGTCTACGAATTCAAGATTGTTACAAATGTATTCATTCTTTTGTTCCTTTGGATATCAATAATAATTAGCTTCAAATAGCATTCGAAATAGCAGGTATTATACAGTACATTCATTTCACTTAATTAATAAAGATGCTTACCCGTCTGACATATGCGGTGGCAAACCCATTTGTATGGCATGATTCATAAACTGTCCTCGGAATGGCATCCCGCTTGAAGCAGCTCCCGTATGACTAGAAAGAGGTCCACCATTTAGTCCAAGTGGTGCCATTGGATAATGATCTGAAACATGACAATTCTGGACATCTTCATAAAATAGAGGTACAATTTTCTTCAAATAAAGTTGTATAAATATGAAAAAAAGATATAGTAATTGGGAAAAGTGTAATTTTTAACTTCTCAATGATAACACAACTATGTGAGAAGTACAAAGCTGATAAAAAAAAATAAATTAGTAGAAAAATTTTAAATACAGATATAAAACATGAAAAAGAGAAGATGCATCATGTGCATAGTTAGTTAGTACATATGCTATTTGCTGGCTAAGACCATTATGTTTTACCCACGTAAAAGGAGTGCATTTGACATTCCAAACACAATGAAAATCTATGCTTTGACAACTTTACATTATTTTAATTTATTTACATTTCTACCGGAACGCTCGCCGTTCAATATCTACAATCTGGTAATAGCAGGAAGATATACCAGACTGACCATGCACAAAAAAAAACACCCAACATTATCAGAAAAAACTCAACATTATCAGCCTTCAGACTATGCCCTTAATCCATTTATCAATTCACTTTCTATTCACTTTCTCTCTCAGTTCACTTTCTAAGCTATTTGACTTTAGTCAACCAGGCTTTGAATATGATGTTATTCTCAAGTTGGACTCTTTAAAGTAATTAAAGTATTCAAAAAATTTTTTAAAAACAATTCCAACACTAAAAGTTCCAAATCTGCTAAAGGTACATTACATGTAACATATGTACGAATACTAGCTATCTTGAAGGAGTTGGAAGTATTACCCTGACCAATGACAAATATTTTTTTAAAGAATTCTAAACGGTATTCCGATAAATAATCTAAAAAAGACGACCTTGAAGTAAGTAGTAAGTTATCCAAAGTGAATGAAATAAATGTGGTGGAAATAGAGACCTGGTGTTACAGCATTCTGAGGACGGGGACACAGGACTGGTGAAGGCACTGCAGAAGATGAAGCGACCATATGCGAATACGCAGCTCGACCGGCCACAGGATTTAGCTGGGCCGGCTGCAGCAAAGGTGACGCAATTGCCACGGCGAAATTTGGTTCAGTATTATTATTTTATAATGTACGGATATTCTCCTGTAATGTACAAATGTTTAGTTATGGAAATTATACCTAAAGTTCAGGACGCTTGAAAATAAACCAGCTCTCGGGACCATCAACACTATTTAGCTGTTTGGAACTTATCTATTTTAAAATGGTATAGCAGCACAGTTCATTATTGCAACGAGTGCACTGTAGATAAGAAATTGACAAAAATTATTGTCAGGAAATGGGACTTTTCAACTGACAAAGGAGAAAAGGAATCTGAAAATGTTCATTAGAAATTTTTAAAAACTTGAATAGTTCTCAACCATTAACAATTGCAAAACAATTCCGAAAAAGATCAGCAATAAAAATTTTTGAGCATTTTTGAAATCGACAACCAATGGTGATAGAAAATATTGTTATAATTTGTAAGACTTGTAACATTAGCAGTGAATGATATAAAATGAATATATCATTGATAAAGGAGAAATTCAGTACCAAGTGAGATGATGCTATGCCTTTCTGCTAACAAAAATGATATATACTTGATGTAGTGAGAGGAAAGAACAGAAAATTGAATTTTAGAACAAAAAGACGGTAGTTGCTTCTGCTTACGCTACTCTCTCGTGTCTTCTGCAGCACGGAACTGAAGAATTATTCAGTATTCTAATATCCCATTCTCCTTTGAAATTTATCTACAAAAAATATGAAGAATTTGAGCATAAATAAAGCATTTTTTTCTGCTCATCCATCAGACCATTCTTTTAGTTCCCCTGCTACTGCTGCCAGAAAATTGTATGTTTTCTACCAATAATTTACCTGAATTTTTTCCCTATGGACCGGGAATCATCAAATCCCATTCTAAGATTTTCTTAGAAGTTGTTGTGCAGGAAAAAATTAAGGCTTCACTAAATTAGTTGAAATTAAATAGAAATCGAAAGAGGAAGAGGGAGAGGAGAGAGAACAGAAGAAAATCAAAACAATTAGAAAGCAGCAAATCTTGGAAAATATGAATTCCGCAGCATTATGATATTAGGGCAGTGGTGTTTGTTCAACTCGTCGGTTCTACTTGGTCTCTACATTTGACGCGCAGTTCTAAAAAGACATTTGGCAGGTAGTTGCACAGTGCAATTCGAAAGTACAATTTAAAGGAACAAGGATCATTTGAAATTTAAATGACTCACAGTCTGTGTTTACCTTCAAATTCTAATCCGGAGGATGTCATGATCGGATTCAGAGAAGATCAAAGATCCTTCAGGTGAATCCCCAATGATGATCGCATGTTTCAAGAAGTCTCAAAAGCAGGAGTGAGAGGTAATTCCGAAGTAACCACTTCGTTTAGACCCTATTTAGGCTTTTACTCACCGCAACATATCCTACAAGAGCTCATCCGACCACTGCTTTCATTGTCACCAAACTTGTATAAAGGCCATATGCACCTATCGAGGTTCTTTCCTTTACAATCTTACCACCTTAACTATAAATGTACACTACTGCCATAGTAGCCGATAGAATAGCTTCCTCTTTTAGATGTGTATGACCTCCAACTTTCAATAGCAAAAGCAATCCGCTCCTCCCCCCTTCCCTTTGAGAACGTAACCTTCATTCTCTCATTGAAATCCGCAATTATCTTGTGATGATTACTAGTTGTGCGTTGTGTCCTAAAAAAGGTCCTAGAGGCAACAACAAGACCAACATCATTACATCATATTCATCAACTATTTGTTTTATGAAATAACAATTCCATACAATACTGACGTACGCAAGGAATGGAATGAGGCTAACTATTTAATTTTGCAAGGATGTAACACAGAAAGCCAAACAGAATGGATGTCTGCAAGAGAAGTATTCTGAGTTAGCCCATCAAGCGGACGGTGTATGCAAATGAGAACTGTGTAAACAAAAAGATGAATGAGAAATGGTAGAAAAGCAGCAAAGCACGTTAAAAAAGGATGAAGAAAATCAACGCAAGGTCATTTGATGGTGTTCAATGAGCATTGGATTGATTGACAAATACTCTCAAATTGTACTTCTACATCGGAGAAATGTCTCCTTCTAAAAATGGAGATTACTGCGAAGTTCTCATCAAAATACACTTCACATAGATGCACACACACACAGTTTCATGCATAACAAAGAATATCCTTCTCTAAAGTCTTTAACTTGCAACAAGCTAAAAACACTCAACCCATGAGCACTATCATCCATATGACAAACACATTCTCGCGATAAAACATATGATGGAATCAATCAATATTAGCATAAAAGATTATTAGGATAAGATGAGAGGATGACTGGATATGCCACCAATTTATAGCTATCATCCGTTCATGCAACAGTTTTGTGCCATAATCAAGCATGTATTTATTACATCCCTATATACAGTTCATCAAATCTAATTCCATTTTTTTCCATTATTGTAAAGTATAAATCTTAGTTAGATGTGAACGAGATTAAGTGGAATCGTCCAGGAATAATTCATCCTTGCAAAATTTTCAGAAGTCTACAAAATACTTCTACAATCAAATCGAAAATTATATGGTTAAAAAGATTTGATAACTTGATTAATATGAAACCGCTCGAAACGTTGAAAATTTCATGCCAGCAAAGAGTTGTTTGCTTCTCACCCATTTCCGATTGTTAGAGTACTTTCCATAATGGGGAAATGAGCCAGTAATATTGAAGTGAACATAGTAAATCGGTAACGATACATATATATATAT